GAGAAATCCCTCATAATTACGTTACATTCTGTACGAGAGCATATTATATGTGTTTATTAAATTTGTGAAAATTCGCAACACCGTCAGAGCAAAGCACGCGTTCTCCACATTGCAGAAATAGGTTATCTCTCTGTGCTGCGTTTCACTTGACACTTTCATCCTGCCAGACAACTAGTTTTTGCTTAGCTTGTGGATTAGCGAAAAGGAAAAAAATATCGTTATTTGTTGTAAATCGAGATTATTTTTCAATGTTTGTTACTGCGTGGGTGAAAGGACAGAAATCAAGGTCGACGTACTGTGTTAGTGATATGAAATCGACACTGTCCTTTAAAAAGAGCGACCTTTAAATCCGACGCGTCAACGTGATAAGAAGACAGATTTGTTAGTGTATACGCGGGAATACATTGTAAACAAAAAGAAAAAGGATGACATTGTGCTTAGGACAAATTCAAATTATTGCAAATAACGTGCAATATATTTCTTCGCGAGTGATGTTTAGGTTATCTCATCAGGTGTTCATTGAAATTGGAACACGATGAAGTACTGTAGATAGTTTCCGTAATAAACTGTCGAATTTCACGTTCGCTTATTATTTAACGAACCTTTTTGTGAATTTATTCAGACATTAATTAATACGATCGTTGTGATGAAAGCGGTGCGCACTTGAATCAGGTTAAGTTACTATAACGCGTTGCCCGCATTGTTACGACAAGATTATTGCTCAAATTCGTGAAAAGAAATTGTAAATGAACAATTGTCTATTTTATTTCAGCCACATTGTTAAATAAAAAATTTATTCTGTTAAGAAAAAACATTGAAATGCAGTTTATGCTTGGACATAAAGAGGAACCAAAATACAGTGAAATGAATTTTTGCACATTATGAAACTGGAAAAAGTAAATGAAATATATTCTATATAAGTTTCTGGACTTAATTGATCAAGACATAAGTGATTGTTTCATCAGAATTATAATTTATACTTGAAAAATAATGCTTGTTAATATTTAGTTTATAAACTTGCAACACCTTTAAAACCAGTTTATAAGTTCAAACAAATTTTATTATAAAATATTGAGAAAAATAAGAAGTATTTTTTACAATTGAATGAATAATAAAAGCAATATAAATTTAATCTTTCAAATATGGTGCTATTAATGTAATATACAACTGTATAATATTTGTTCAATAATATTTTACTTGATTATATTTATTTTAACAAATTGTATTGGAAATTAAAACAGTGAAGTCAAATTTTTACTTCCTGCTGTAATTTTAATTATTATTATTTTTATTTTATAATTTTATAAAAATTCAATTAATAAAATTATCAATGTCCTGTAGAATTAAGGTTTTATGTATTTCACAAATAATGTTTTGTTTTCATAAGTTTATGATAATATGTTTATATAAAGAGTAATATAATTTAATCATAAGAAGAAATCATGACAATTAGAGCGTAACAAATGTTAAACTGTGATGTGGTGTATTTTAAATATAGTGTTTGTGCCATTCCTTTCATATACAAGACATTGGCCACAGTTAATGTTTCACGAACATCCTTATGAGAATTATAGAAATTTAGGACCACCTTAAAAACAAATCATCTTTTTGTTAAAATTTGTATGAAAAATTCTGGAAATATTTACTCCGATCATGACAGAAATCACTATTCAAGATCTACAGAAGCTTCTTATATACTTCTCAAAAAACACTTACAGAGCAAAGGATGCAGATAGCACGGTAATATTTTTATATGCACATACTTGTAATGTAAGTTCCAAATTTTGTAATTTTAAAACATGTCTTTCTTTTAGAGTCAAGCAGTCATGCAAAGATGTCTGCTCCTCACTGACTTAGATTATACTCACTCTATAATAAATAATAATGGAGGTGATCTCAGTGCACACTATCCTAGCCATCTTATCATTTTAGAATATGAGAAGTATAGAAATCCAAATATGTGTGATACACCACCACCACTGCCACGCACAACAGAGACTATATATGAAAGCATGTATGACCCTAATAAACTGAAGGAATTGATAAAAAGTGCTAGATTTGCTAGGTGTCGTTCAAGATTTCCACTGCCAGTAATATTATATAAGGGTAGACATGTGTGCAGATCAGCTACTCTATCTGGAGGACCAGAAATTTATGGTAGATCTGGACTAGATTATTTATTTGCCGGTAGTGAAGGGATAGTTTCGATACAACAAGTAGACGAAGCCCGCGGGGGTGATTCTGTACTTAGCGACTGGCAATTGTTTGATAAAGTTAGACATCAAGACATCAAGCTTCTGAAAACACTTAATGTAGGAACAATAATTGACTTTATGGTTGAGAAGAAGAAGGTCAAATTTGGAATGAAGTAAGTAGATAAGCTGAATCAGCAAGTTCTTATGCATGCCTTATTTGCATAAAAAGTGGTTGTAAAAAAATATTGTTTTTTAGATACCTGTTCCATTCCTACCTTTTGTTTTTAATATTATTTAAAACATTATTTGATAATTAAAATAAAATAATAAATAACAAAATTATAAATTACTTTTTTTATTCGTTAAAATGTTTTAAATAAGTGATATCAACATTTTATTTTCCGAATTTTTGTTTATCTCCTTGTAATCGTATAGTTGTTTAAAATGAAAAAAGGATTCAAATCATAAGTAACTATCAAAGCAGTTCTTCAGTTCTTCACAGATTCAGTGAAGTTTCATAACAGTTAATAGCATGATCAGTTTTTTTTATTCTATGAATCCACTTTTAGAGGACCTTAAACAGAGCTCTTTTGTTCGGTACTCAGCGTGACATCCTCGGAGAAAGTAGACAAAGAGAAGAGGTACTCCGACTTCACCCTAATTTCACTGCCATATCCTGGATGTGAATTCTTTAGGGAGTTTAGAGAAAATGACTACCTAGCTAAAGGTTTGGTATTCGATTGGTCTCAGACTCACGTCGATGCACAAATTGGTGTGCCAGAAGATTCAATTTCTACTCAATTACGAATCAATTGGGATCAATATCAAGTCTGGGATCTAGTCAAACTTACTCAAAATTATTTAAAACTCATATTGAGATATTTGAGTGATAGTAGTAGCGGGATACTGATACATTGTATCTCAGGTAAGTATCTTTCCTTTGGAGCAATATAATTGTTAATTTGATGGATACTTGATATAATTAGCACTGAGTATAATTTACAGGTTGGGATCGCACACCGCTGTTTATTTCATTATTGAGGATCAGTTTATGGGCTGATGGTGCAATTCATACTTCATTAAATGCCTATCAAATTCTTTACTACACCATAGCATACGACTGGATGCTGTTTGGTCATGATTTGGAGGACAGACTAAGCAAAGGAGAGGAAATATTTTTTTTCTGCTTTTACTTTCTAAAGCATATTCATGATGACGAATTTAGCATCCATCCACGACATAACAGAGCTAGGCATGCGGTTCTACGAAACGACAGTGACTCGCAATTAGACAATGTAATGTTTGATAGTGAATCGGTAGTAACTTTGAGTTCGGTCAGTTCCAACTTGAGTCTGAATAGTTGGTGTAGTTCCGTTAGTCAAAATAGTAGGGATAGTCAAGATAATAATCCACCAACTGTGTTTCACTGTGCTTCCACAGAGAGTCAAGATGACTCTCATAGTAATGGGTACATATATTTATTTTCATCCAACATACTACGACAATTGTCTAGTATAGACACGTTATATTTGATCTTGAATTATTAATCAATTTTGTAGAAATGTTGTACCATGGTCGTTCTATCCTTCTCCGAATAAAGAAGGTATAGCTCATGGATCACGATCACCTTTGCCTCCTAATCGGACTTCCCCTGTTGCGGTTCCTGTACCCGGACGTCTGCGGCAACGAAACGAATCCTCATCATCTGGCGATTCTTGGCAGATGATATCGGGAACCGGAAGCTTACGCGGTTCTACAACTGCCAATGCTCCGCTCACAGACGGATTAACGTCTAGTTTAGTTTGTAAACCTCTGTGTGAGACTTGCACAGGACATGCATCTCAAGAATCAAGCACAACGATCATTGAAGATGAAGCATGTGCGTCGTTGGCGCAGTACGTATCATTATTTAACGTTCAATGAACGATCAAGCATTTATTAATTTCATTTACTATTTATATTTGTTCTAGATCCCGCAAAGAAAAATTGCAATGTTTGAGAAGAATATTTTATAACGCTTATAGTCACACTGTTGGATTTCGAATGAAAGACAATTCTGAATCGAGCGGCTTCGGTCAGTTACTCGGTAATTTTGCCGAAAAAGTAGGCATTCTTTCTGTTCAACGCACATCCTTGTGACTATAACGTCATTAACTTCCCACAATTATGAGTTTATTGTTATTGATCCCTTGATTCGATTGAGAATTTTATAAAACACTATACAATGAAAATAAAATAATTGTACATTATCGTTTATGTGAATAACGTATTGTTATACAAGAGATGGCGTGTATACGCGTGACATAAATAAAAACTTGATATTTTTGTATATATATATATATATATACATATATATATAAATATTTACAGTCGCGGTGGAAAATAAGTGGACGCTGTTCAAAATAGAATACCTCGGTTAAAATTGGACTAAATGAGTTCATGTTTTTTGAGAAGCTATAAAGATTAATTCACTAAAATATGTCTTTCGTAGATTCACATAAGTTATGGATATGCTGAAAATTTCATCGAGATCGGTCAAGGCGTTTAAAAGTTATAACTAATTAAAGTTTCCGAAAATCGCGACTTTTCACCTAAGAACGTGACTAGTTCCTAGTCAGGTTTGCTTTACATTTATCACATACATGTATGTATATTTATTACTACCATCTGTATAAAATTATTATTAGCACAGATGAATAGTAGTATTTAAACAAATTATAGAATGTTAAAATGTATAAAATAACTCTAGTGGATCATTTACCCTTAACTCACTGATTATTTAAAAGGTGAACAAACATTTGCATGTTTTTTTGCAATTTCTTCATTTAATCATTTTCGAATATTTAAAAAAATTACAAATTCATTACATGCACAATTCTTGAAGGTACAACATGTTCTCTGCAGAAGGGACACTGTGGTTTAGAGTTCAACCAATCGGTAAGGCAAAACCAACAAAACATATGACCACATGGTGTAGTAGTTGTTGGTATTTTTTCAAGACACAACTGACACAATAATTTACTATGTCTGTCATCAGTTACTATATATTTATCAACATCATTTGTGATGTTACTGTTTTGCCAGATCTTTAATGCACACTGTACAAGTGTAGCAACTCCTAATAATCTTAATCCCCAACTTATGCTATCAGTTGGACGGCGACCGTACACCTTCAAATTGTAAAAAGCAACTGATATAATATCCATGGATCAATTTAAAGAGAGAAGCTCATCATACAGAAATTACCTTTGCATAATCTATTCCTGCTATTCTTTTACCCAGACTATAATATTGACCAAATAAATAAAATAATCCCTTATGTACTACTATGAAAGTAGGTATCAAGCTACATATTTTTGATATAAAAGAGTTCAGAAATAATACAGCTGTAGGTGTTAACTGTGAATGAGGATGATTAATTGATAGTTCCAATTTTTTCAATAATTTTAATAATGTCTTTTCCCCAAAACATTCCAAAATTACTGCCACTACCCTTGCCTGAATGCATAAATGTCTCATATTAATAAGACAATTTTAACATAATTTATGGTAATACTTTAAATACGTACAAACAGTGATGGAACTTTATAAGCTCTTAAATTTGCTTGTACAATACCAGTATATTCTTCGCCTAATGTTTGATTACCCATTCCAGATGTAAAAAAGAAATAAATTAATTTAAATGGAACATCAGAATGAATAATGGATAACAAGCCTTTTTGTCTTCCAAATATATGTAGAAAATCGACAATTTTTTCCCTTAAATGTTTAATGAAATCATCATCTCTTTGATGCGATCTTAGAATTTCGGCTTGTGTTGCACATTTTAATGTTCGGTATTTTCTCTTTGCTTCCATTTTAGTTGAACGAATTTTTATACTTATAAGAAATTGTATAGCATTTTACTTTTTCAGCAAATTAAGCACAAAAAATAAACTCACGGACATTATAAACGATGCACATAATCAAAAATACAATATACTACATACATAAATACATATTGATAAAGAAAATATTCTTATCATCATGCGAACATAACCTTAAAGAATGGAAATAATTTTATCACATTTTCTTTCCCTACCAATTATTACTGGTACAACCAGCAAAGCTAACGAGTATTTATTTATTGATGAATATCAGAAAAACAATATATAAATGCATGTAAATCTTTTACAAGGACCAAAGTGTGCCGCCAAAATTGCATCACCTATCATTGCAAGAAAAGCAATTCTCGTGACGTGCACAATAATTATGAAACAAATTTTCAATAGTTTCATAAAAGTAGATTTAAGGAGAAAATTAAATGTTTCAGTTAAAAATAAATAACAAATACATATATTCGTAGAATATAGAGTAGTGAATAAAAGACAAAAAAAATTAAATATTATTTTGTAGAAATGAAAAAGATAGAAACAAAATTGGGAAATTATATTACTGATTAGAAAACAAAACTATCAAGGATTTTCAATGGCTAACTAATTAATTCTGATTTTATTTTAATTTAAAATTCATATTTGGATAATTACCGATTTATGGCGGCAGTTGGTTAGCTGGTAAGGCAGACTCTTGTCCCATTTGTGGCCCAGAGCGCGCCATCTGGCCAGTTGGTGATTACATAGTCACAGGCAGAGGGCAAAGCAGCGAGCAGCAGAGAGGCATCGCCCTAGATAACGGTAGAATCGTGGGCTGGTGTCGTGCTGCTTCTCGTGAAAGTGCTGAAAACCGAGAGAATCGTAGGAACCGTTCGGGATAGAAGAAATCTTTGTTCGGACAGAGGTTATTTTCGTTGTGTGTAAACAGCCGCGTTGAGTCAGTGCGTATTCGTTTCTTAGAGGCGAGCAAAGGAGGACCGTGCCCCGAGGAGCTTTGGTGCACCCGCGCCGCGCGAGACTTTCGACCAGTGCGGAATATCTCAGCCAGTGACACGTTCGGTTTCTTTTTTACTCTGTTTCGTGGCCTCGTCGTACCGGCACCAGTCCACGGATCCTCCCTTTGCTTTCGATGTGTTCGCTACGCCGACGGGACGACGAACCGAGCACAGGAGTAGTAGGAAGCGAGTAATCGCCGGAGAATCTCTGTAGATTGGGATATAGTGGGCCGTGAACAAGGACGGAGAACGAGAGGGAAGGAGACAGTGAACGAAGGAGTGTGCGAGGAAGAAAGAAAGAAAGAAGGAAAGGGACGGATAGAGTGCGACAGAGGGCCATTAGATTTGAGGGGTACGGGTACAACCAGTACACACCGAAGTGGATTCAACGAATATTTTGAAGACGCAAAGGTAAGGGGTAAAAGCAATGTCTCTATAGGGATACATAGTTTCTAAAAAAAGAACAGCGTCCAACCCCCCCGTGAGGTCGTCGTGGCGTGGCACGCTAGGCAAACGCCGCCGGAAACCATACACGGTGGCCGCTCGCGCGTTTTCTCAACCCGATACTCGATCTTTCGTAAATTTTCAAGGATCACCAGAGAATTCTCGTTTACGTTCCATCCATTTTCTCGCGTATCACGTTCTAGACGATCCTACGTCATCTATTTATCGTTGGCGTTCGCACGGCTGCGATCACTCGTGCTCATGCCGGTTTCTCTCGTGTCAAATGGTGTCGTCTCTGTTGCTTCGAGACACGGATCAACTTTTTGTGCAGGTTAGGTTCGACGATCTATCATGTCCGGATCGTAACTATGCGGGTTACCGGTTTCGTGATAAATCTAATCGTTCAAGTTCGTGGTACAAGAAAGAAAAAAGATTAGAAACGTTGTACGAATTGGCCGGCAAGGACGAAGCGTGCAAAGCCTCGTCGAATACTTTCGCCTTTTCGTCCTCTTCTTCTTGACTGCTTGGTGATTCACGTGAGTCACTTGGCGGCGCAGGAAGTGACTCGAGAAGAAAGAAACCCAGCAACGTGCAACAACGCTGCTTGTGTCTCGAACATTTGTTTCTCGTGTTTATAGAAGCTTCGTCACACTCGCTGCTGTTCTTCGTTCGCGAACCATTCAGAGATCCTTTGATAGAAAATTACCTCGCGTCGAACTCGTATCCGTATACACACCGGTTCTAATGAATTTCACAACCAGTGAAAACAATGTGTCGCGCGCGTGTCGTGAGAAGTTCCTTCTTGTCATATTTTTATTGTTGTACTTTATTCATTCAATCTGTACGATTTTTGTCATGATCATGTACGTTTAACCTCGTCGGTCGTTGAAATGCGTAGATAACCTCTGCCATTCGGCATTATTGTTGACACGGATCGACGACAGAGCCAGAAGCGTGGCTAATTATTAGCTTCGTTGAATCGGCGCTACGAAGAATGCAGCGTGCTGTCACGTGACCTGTAAATTCTGTTTTCATAGTATTCTCATAGTTTGCACAGTGATTTTGTTATAGTCGAATGATTCGCGAAAGACGTATCGCGCTGGTAATCGATTCAGATCGAATCGTTTCGATTCGATTAGACAATCGTCAATCTATATAAATCACATTCAAAATTGCCTTTAAATTATTGTTAATCGCTCGTTAAAACTTTTATGCGTACAATAAAATACTTGTAGGTAATTTACGAACGGTAAATATCGATTCGTGTACGAATCGAATGGTGCGTTTCGAAAATTTTTAATGGAATGAAATCGTGGAATAATGAAACTCGTAGGAAGGAACGGTGGAAACGGGAATGGTGAAGGTGACAAGTTATCAGAACCAAAGAAGATAACGAGTTCGAAAGCTGCCGCATGGCTAATTTAACTCGCTTTATTTTCAGTCCTTGTCTTTTTTTTTTTTTTCGAATTCGATACACCGGTTAATACGTGATACATCGGTGATTTGTTTATCCGTGATAAAACACGTTACAATCTTTTTTAAAAAGTAAACAATAAAAAAATTCAGATCAATCTCTGTGAACAATGCTGACCATTATTTTGTTAATTTTTAACAAAGAATTTTATTTTCGTTTATTTTACCTCTGTTGGTTAAAGCCAATTAATTAAACGAACCGATGTTCCAGTAGAAAAACAAGTGTATCGTCGTTATTTAACTTTTTGTTGGATCAAATCCGCTTAAAACAAATTTTCCCTTTGCAGCTCTTCAAAGCTATTAGCGTCGTAAAAATAAAAAGATTTCTATTCTTGATACTGGTTTCCTCTCTCAAGAGGAGATCTACGTTTCACGGTAAATTTTAATTAAAAGCAAACAAATTTGTATTTTTATTATCCAGTAGATAAAGCGAATGTTTTTAACAACATTTTTCGCACTGCAATAATAAACCCATCGTTGGTCGATTGGTATAAAGAATAGTTGGACGAATTTTATTAACTTCACAGGAACAAGAATAAATAAATAAAAAAATATATATAAAAAAAAAGAATCGTTTTATTGGACGCGTGGTTCGGTTAAAATTATAACATGAATAAAGATGACGCTTCGAACGATATTGGTACCGTTTTTCCCTCCTCTTTCTCTCTCGTGTCGATAAAAAAGCGAATTCCGATCCGGGCGCGAACTAACTTTCAAAGTGCTGGAAATTTTACGCATATTTTCAGACGTGACGCAATGTTCAGATACGAGATAACGAGAATCGGTGGACGGGAAAAAAAAATTTTAATAACGGATCTTATGAAACACGGTTAACCATATGCACGAGCAGGAAATGGAACAGATTTTGCCTACATTTTTAATAAACAAAGGTATTTAAAAAAAAAAAAAAAAAAAAAGAGATTTGTAAATTATACAGAACGGTTCATAAAATTGTTACAACTCAGCTCTTTTATCTATAATATATTTGTTGCATTCGGTTGCATCGTTTTAAATTGCAGCTGGATATGCAACGCGAAAACATTAAATATCGAGTCAGGAAATGGTTTCGCGAGAGGTAGGCTTTTTAATCCATCTTAAGCCAACCGTGCATTTCCAACTGTTCATTTTTTTTGTTTCTTTTCGCATAGTCAGCGATCTTGTCTAAGGACAATAAGCGTATTTGAATTTCGACGAGTTTCCGCGTTCGCATAATAGTTTCGTAACGAGAGGCTGCTGGTTTCACGTTCGTTCATTCGACGACGTATCGCGAAATAAAAGTGACAGAGATGATTTCATCGCGTACCATGGGTGCTCACTGATCCAGATAAATATCGACCTTAGCCTCTATAAATACCGTCGACGGTGCTTTTTACCTAGACCCGATTTTTTGCCAACATTTTCGGGGGAACAATCGAAAATTTCAATCTGCATAAATTTTTCTTTGATTTTCCTCGAATTTTCCTGAAAATTCTCCCGGAGAATGAACGTTTAGGATTATTTCCGAAGAGGGCGAGAATTTTTTTTGACACGAATTAGGTCAATTTTCAGGCTAATCTATTTTTAGGCGCAAGTAGAATAGACCCAGTTCGAAACTGCTGCCACAATGCTGATAGTTTCGTGCAAAATTGCTATTACGTTCACTTTGCCAGGCAAGAGTGACTCACGATCTAATGCAATCATTTGTAACGCTCACGGTGTGAGAAATGACGTAACGAAAGCGTATCGCGTCATATCCGCGTTCTTCTCCACCATATTTTTCTATCATATATTTCATTGCGCCAGAAGTATCCTCGATCAGTAATTTCCACTTGTAGTACGTTTAGAGTTTCCCTCCAATTCGCCTCTCTCCAATCGTTTATTTATAACTTATTGGTTATTCATTTATAGCGCAAGCAAAGTCACGGTGTATTTATGAATAAATGCTATTTTGTCTTGGGAAGATCAGTGTACCGATCGACAAAGAATTCTTTCAAGGGGAACAGAAAAGTTAGCAGAGTAGTTGGTACGAAAGGAAGAAATCCGGTGTCCTCGATGAATGACAATAGGTCGTTCGAAATCGGAGAATACATATCGGTTCGTGCCAATTTTCGGCGATACATCGTCGCTTACCGGTAAAAGGGTTTGATACTAGTTATGCTTCCTCGTAATCGATAGTTTCGTACCAGCCTCGATTATGCCGTTGCTCGACTTCGATAATCCAACGACTCGAAACTGTACGTTTAACCTGGGAATTAAGCGATTTTCGAAAGGCGAAACGATGCCTTTTAACGAGTACACTCTATCCAGTTAAGGTTAAAGCGATTCAATTTTGAAAACGATACCCAGCCGCGACTTTGAACTCGATACCGTAGACTACGGGTTAAAACGGATAATATAGATTCTATACGATGATGCGGCCGCGACCATCGATTTGTCGCGGCTACGAAATCTGATATCGAAGTCGATATTGTCCGTGTCGTTGCTGGCCATGGTAATGACGATGTTCTTAATGCTAGCAGTATGATAACGACCGTGATACCGGCAATAACAATGACAGTGATAAGAGTTGTCAGTAGCGGTAACTAGCAACAACGTCAAGCAAGAATAACATGTTAAGTAACAACCACGCCGAAGCGATTAGTACAAACATTACGATTGTAAATAATAGATAGCAGATAGTAAATCCAGATCCAGTAGTACGTAGTAGCGTAGCCGATAAACGAATGAATGAGCGAACGAATGAATGTACAAACGTTCAAATACCATAGTAATGAATCTACGAGAAAAGAGACTCGTACGATTCCTCCTTGAACGAGTCATTATTCCGATAAATTCACTTTGGATTTAACCGATATTTGTGTTTTAAAAGGAGAACGATTAAAGAGAAGGATAAACGTAAGTCTGACCTCGGTAACGAGAACAAACAACAGATTTTCTCTGGAATGTTGCTTCAATTTTTAATTACACCGTGTAATTGGAGGATCTTTGGTTTGTTGATGAATCGAAAGCAGTGAGAAAAATTTCGCGTTCACTGCACAATTTTTTTGTATAATCAAGCTTATCGAGCTGTTCCCTCTTGGAGAACACCTTGAGAAAATAATGAGTCATCGTGAGATCCGGTGATTAACGTATAAAGAAAGTTGATCGAGAATTTTTGCTACTTATTTATTATTCTTATAAATCGAGTTTCAAGCTGAAACTCTCGAACATCGATGAACAGATTAAATTAGTACAAAATCACAGACATGTACCGAAACAAATAGAAAATTATGAATGATAAGTAAAACCTGTGAGTCACGAAACTTACATAGACAAACGAAAGCTTTAAGGAGCTTTAGAAATCGATACGATTAATTAGCAATCATCGATGTAAAGAAACTTACGAAACGTTTGAAAGAGGAAGCTATGGTAGAACGGATGTTGGACGAGGAGAATCGTTTCAAGGCGAAACAACGTCCGCGTAAATGCGTGTTCGACAATGAAGTCGAAGGATGAGTTATCGAGAAAGGGTGTACGCTATACAGGAGCTCATTTACTCGCCATAAGGTTCACGAACCCATGAGTCATTTCGAGTCACGCAATGACACCGAGTAGCGCATGTAAGCCCCACAATTTTCATTGCTTGACCGTGTAACGTTGCTTCCAATAACTGGCACCATATCGTTTGCTTTTCCGTATCATTCCTCTTTTCTTCTCTTTTCATGTTTTCCAATCCGACTTTCTTAAACGATTGCGATAACCCCCGAGTCGTTCGATCTTTCAAGAAGTTGAATTTCTTTTATCGTATACCCCTTTATTCCACGTTTCTTCTTCATCGACCAGTTAATAATTAATTTGGTAAATGTTCAATGGTCTTAGAAACTAGAGTTTCTAAGGAAAGGTTCAATTTTCTCTGTTCAATGATTAATTACAAAATTGTCGGTTTCCGTGTGCTTAACGAGCCTTATTTCCGAAAGTTTGCCTCGTTCTCAGTGTCACAGATTAATCAGCAAAGTTACAGACACCCTGTATATCATCCACAATGGCTGTTCGTTGTGCTATGACAATATTAAGCGAAGTATAGGGACGGTAATTTTGATAATGCAAAGCTTAATGCGGTTAGTAGTGGTCCCTATCGATTTTGTATCACAGAAGCTATCGCCGTAAAGCAATCATGCGACCAAGCTCACGTTTCATTAATCTAATTATCTCGTTTCAATCTTCCTCATTTTTTTTTCTTCTTCTAATTACACTGAATCACTGCGCGAACAATGCTTTAATTACGTACCGGCGACAAAATTGATATTCGCTTCATGGTTCTTTAAAATTGTGTGGCTTAGAAATTGTAAATGATCACTGAAAGGAAAACTCGCTTTATTATCGTACGGATTTGTGTAAGTGACATTTTATGTAAGAAAATATTGGACTTCGTGCCGAGATACCTGTTACGTTATACCTCATTTGTTACGAAATGAAACGCTAGCAGAGGAAGAGACTCTTCCCGTTGCTTTTTTCTTTCAAGGTAGAGAAATATAAAAATGTTGAAGTATGAGCGGATGTGTATCCTTGCTGGAAGATTTTTCCTTGTCCTTTTTACGAGTCGTAAAGGGACTTTAGGAGGAAATATTGAAGCGTATATTCTGGTAGATGTTAGATTCAATGCGGTGCAGCTGGCTTGATTGGCTGAATTAGAAATCATTAGAGGTTAAACATGCCCGATGACGCCGGTTCGATCTCATCGATAATTCGCACTTTGAATAGCTAAAATTATAGATATTGCTTGAAAGTATGTAACATCGCGTATATTTAAAATGAAATAATCAATCCAGTTCAGTTGAATTAACATTACGTTTCATAATTTGAATTTATTATACGAATTTGATTATTAATTACCGTTACCACAGAGAAAATTAGCCCGTCATTGATATTGTTCTCGCGTTAAAATTCGTTGATATCGAATCATTTCATTTTACGTATCACTGGACATGGAACAGAAGCTGTGTACACTCAGAATGTGTTGCAATGTTAATTAAACGTTAATTATGCTCGATACAATGCAGGGGCGAAATTATTAAAGATATACAGAATGTAATAAATTTACCATTTCAAATTAATAGCATAATCTCGTTTTCCTTTCTAGAGACAATGGAATAAATAGAAACGTAAGCAAAATTATGTTGTCCTGAAAAGTAGTAGAATATTGGATGCCCCATAAAGCATGGCGGGGCAGTGTTCTACTAGATGAAATGGTTTAAATCCATTATGTAAATACTGCTCTTATCCCTGGAGACATTGCACGGCATCTTAAGATATGAATCCAGCCAAGGAATCTCCATATTCCTTGGATAATTCTTTTACAACGGGCCAGCTTCAAATTTAAAAATATTGTGCAGGCCGCGTGTAACAAACTTATGATAATAGAAATACTGAATGATGAACTCAAATTATCTCTTTATTAACAAAATAAGCTTAATTTTTGGAAATGGCATCAGTGTTTCATTTTCAAAAATTAAGTTAACACGCCTAGGGTACAATGAGGCTGCAGGACACTAGAAATTTTAAAAATTCAAAATGTAAAATCTTTGAAGGGTCGCACGAGAAAGTGTGGCGGGCCGTGGGTTGCTCATCCCTGCTCTAAATTATACCTGTATTCGAAAAACGAAACTTTAGATTGCGAAATGGTAAAGAGCTTTTAGATTTGTTTCGGCACGAAGAATTATACCGTAGCTTTTCGGAGTGTACAATCGTTTTGAAGTGGCCTGTATATACGTGGTTGGACGCGCTTTCAAATCATCGTTCACGTCGACAGGGACGTGTAATGCGTGTGCCCTAGATGCGCGAGGCTAGCCTCACGGAGGCGACTCCACTTCCTCTGCAATCAGGTCCGATCAATTAATGCTTGAATGCCTTCTTATTCAAGTAGCCGCAATGAACGTTCATCAACGATTAACGCGTCCTTTAAAACTCTCTTGGAAAAATTCAATTTCCTATTTCTTTTGTGATTCTATTCCTATTTCTTAACATCTCGACTACCACTTGCTCGGTTGAAATAGATTTCTTTTCATTTTCAAATGGAACTGTGAACCTCGATACTGTGATATTTTCATTGGATGCAAATGTTGGTTAGAAAGATAGGATGACGTCTCTGACTGAAAATAAAACTGAACACACGCGTTTCAATGCGATTCGTGGGTCGATTTCAAAGAGGTGTTGTAACAGATTTTTTACATCCACCCACGTTGAAACTATTTTTTCAGCGCTTCGATCGTGTCCCTCCTTTAAGCACAGAAAAAACAATATATTAAAAGATCATCTAGAAAAATGTTTCACCAAGGTATCTAACATTTTGCTCAGACACATCTGACACGATCTGATTCGTATATTCTGAAAATAACTGCGTGAAATGAACGAGGTAAACCGGGTTAAAATAAGCATTATATCAATAAACCTTTACCGCTATTAATTATCAGAGAATATTACAATCATATCACAGTACTTTGGATTCAATTCTCTGCAGTGAAAATTCTATTGGATAAAATATTAGTTCAATTTATTTATGTAGAATAATTCTATAGGGAATAATTATTGATAATTCCTATTTGGAAAGGGATGAAACAAATGAAGACGTGGGATCGCCAGTATCTGGCAACAAGTTCATTGAACGACGAAAGTCGATAAAGTCAGGAGCTTAATTAATATCTCGTTCGAGCATTTTTCCATAGCTGTGAGCTTCGTTCCCCCTTGATAAATCCATTGTAACGTGGCTGAATGGCCGAGACACGGGGTCCTGTCGTGGTTGTTAAAAGTCTTCCGAAGCTTTAGAGGCTGCGATCCAAGCCGAAACTTGCCCCTTAAACATCGTTCAACCGGCTCGTAATGCTTTAATGGACCTGGTGACAGCGTTCTTAATTACCGGCAAGACGAAAAAGTCAATAATAGTAACCGGTCTTAGAGGGAAGCGACTGTAGAACGTCGAATTACGTTCTGGTATCTTTCAGTTGAAGATTAAACTGAAAATTAAAATTTTGCCAAAAGGCGGAGTATCATGCTAACTGAAACAATGCCAAATGTTCTAGCAGGGATAATTCAAATGGTTGGTAGAGTACGAAAGGTAGAAAAAATGGGACAGTAGAGTAGGTAGGCAAAATTTACCTACACTGGTACACGCTATCATTTACTCGACTAATGTAAAGTAGGCTTAAGAGAGCTAGGGAGAGGATATTCGTCGGTGGCCTGGATAGCTTAACACGTTGACTGGCATAGGGGTCACCTGTAACTAACATCGGGAATTGAAAATTGAAAAATCTTTCGGATGATAATTTTCTGGGCCCAGTTTCGAACGTTCGTTAAATGGAATATCAACGATATTCTCGTAGTATTATATTTAACCGTAAGATGGAATGCAAGCTACTATACATGGAATCTCGAGCTTATTCAGTAATGATTAAGCGACACGAGAATCAACTTACTCCTGACGTCGCGTTGCGTTACGGAGAATAACGTGTTCCCGAGATACGTGGTAATCCTTGAACAACGTTCTGCTAAAACTACACCGACAGAAGAAACTTTCTGCTGTAATTACAGTTGTTAGCTTCGATCGTGCGACTATTCAATGAGTTTCTCGATGAGTTTCTCTCTTCCTATTATACATTTATCAACCTACATTACGGTGTATTATATTAAAAAATGGCAAGATTATGCGTTTTGAGAGTTAACGTAATTTCTCTGTCTAGTTTCCCTTTTGTTGTCCCTTTTCGGTGGCAGAGAGGCTTTTAACGGCGACTCGTCTTGACATCTTTCCATTGTTCTCGTTCCAGAGAAGTGGCGTTGCGTGAATTAACAAAAACACGAAAGGGTTGGAAGGTTCAGCTCGACTCGAACAATTCCTCTAGCGGATCATCGGTTGCGTTTGTCTGGATTTCTTCACGGTGAGTTTTCCTTTTTTTCCCTCTCTCTCTCTCTTTGCTAAGATATTACCTGGTTTGCTGCTTTTGCAATCGCCATGAAACTCTGTTTATTCTCCTCGGAACGTAACGAATTCGTGCAAGGTAAAACCGTCATGTCACCGTATACTTTTGTCACGACAAACCCATCTTTCACCATTGTTTCGTGTTAATTACAAACGATAGAAGAAGGCGTAACACTGTTCAGGGACACTCGAGGACGCAATTGGCTGTACTGCAGCACACTTTCCTGCAGAACAGAATTAATTCGAGTTCGTTCTCTCGGTTACCGTTCGCAGAGGCGCGTGAAGTACACTCGAACCCCTAACGAAGCAGAATTAACGACAGAACTATCGGCTTTTCGCAACTTTCGCCTATCCTTTTACACGAGGGATGATACACCTCGTTCGTCTCCTCTTTCCGCGGCGCGTTATTCCCGAGGAGAAAGATGAATTAAGAGGAGGAGGCGCCTGTTGGATGACGCACCGGATATGTCATTGGCTATTTGCAACCGATGATTAATGCCCAGTTGGCTAAAGAATCGTGAAATTTAAATAGAAACATTCCCACAAAGAGGTTGGTGGATCGAAGCTGAAAGTCCTCGAGAAGAGGAGGGATTCCTCTCGCCGGAGGCGGTGGTGATCCACGGAATCTCCTTTTCGTCGGGTACAAGTATTTCATGCACAACGATATGACGCAGAAATCATTCGGAGATGAAAAATGGAGAGAGCTCTTCACTTTGCTCTTAGCTTGGCGAACACCGCGAGTCCCTGTGACACAGTTTCGCACAATAGAGAGCAGTCCAACCCGCTTTTTACCTCGAGCTTCTCGCCGCCATTCTTTCTCTTTCTTAAAGCCTTCACCGTCACCCTCCTTCTTTCTTCCTATTCATCCTCCCTTCGTTTTTAATCGTTGCCCACTTTTGCTTAGATCTCTCTGATCATTCATCGATATCTAATCGATCGATTCACCCCTTCTTTTTTTCCCCTCTTTCGCTGAAGGGAAAGATCTTCAGGGGTGGAAAAAGGGACTACTAAATCCGAGAAAATCGTGTAATCTTCAGAGCAATTTCTCTATTACACCACGGAAATTGAATTACCATTCGCATTACAGGCATAGCGACTTTTATTCGCTTAACCGACCGATCTCTTTCGTTTTTTGTCATTTTTTTTCCCTTCCCGCTCGCGTCACTGAAATAAATTGCACTCGCTAAGTGCTCGCGGAAGTAATCTTTGCACGATGATATTGCACACCTTATCCATTTACAACTAGGAAAAATCTAATCGTATCGTCGCTAGGGTAAATTGAAAGCAAACGTTGCTTCAAAGTAAGATACTGTAATCACAGCATAAAATCAGTGGCAGAGAAATATAGCCGGCGTTAATTGCCATGCAATTTTGTACTTGACTTTGCACTATGTTAATGCAACAAAGAGAAAGCTTGAAAAATCTTGATTGTGTAATTTCACGCGTAATTAACACCACGAATGCGCTCCGACCAAATGTGTGCCACGACATTGTAGTGTTTTCAGTCAGATTTTTTTTTGTTTTTTTTTTGAGAGAATTAAAAAGAAAAACATACAATAGTTGGCCGCGCAATTAACGGCTGCCTTTTTCTTCGTATTATTCGCGAAACCAATTAACGGGCCGTTGGTTCGGGAACTACGTATTATGAGCATCGAAAATCCGATGGAGCTTCGAGTGCTGGTCGATACTCTCGATCAAGTTAAAATTGCGGCTTCGTCCTTGTTCTCGAGCGGCTGTTATTGCAAAAAAAAAAAAAAAAAAAAAAAAAAAGAACAAAAAGAAAAAAGAGTCGGGGCATAAACGGATACTCGCCGTACGAATGATTACGTATTTTCTGTTTCCAAGTCAGCTTTTTGTTATGATAGCGTTTAATCGGAGATAGAAAGTTTCATCCTCTCGTCTCCTATTCGTCCTATTTCGCTGTTGTATTATCCGGAAGTGGAGGCTCGCGATTCGACACACTTGGAGCTAGTACTTCGTCACCCGACTCTGATGAATCCTGATCAACCTTCATCGCGTTTAATTAAACGCATCAGTGTCAAGATGTCTGCTCGAGACAATTGCGCCCTTTAAATGCGCAGGCACGCGAGTACTCCATCCCGGTTGAATAACGCTTCACCTTGTACGATGACATTTATCCTTTTCGCATTCTTTTCCCGGAAAATTACGAAGAAAAATCCTGGAAACTTATTCACCGAAGCAAACGTCAAATATTTTCACTCCGCTACTAAATATTCCTGCTTTTCCGTGCAAGTAGGTTAACGTTTGTCCAACAAACTCCGAAATTCTTCGAAAATTCAATTTCTCTATTGAATCTTGGATTACATCCAAAGCTGCGCTGCAGCGATTTGATATACCGATTAATTACACTTTTGATTGATTTTCGAACGCATCGATGCTGGCTCGAAGGGATGGACATCTTGGGGATTTGTTGAAAAATAGAGGCCTAGAAACGTCGAATGGGAGGTTTTTAATTGTTGTGGATAGAAATTCGGCCACGGAGAAGGAAGAAGGGGTGCATCGGGTTACGGATGGCCATGATAACTGGGTCACCGGTCTCCTCTCTTTCCCTCTGCGGACGTATGCGGATAACGATATGTTTTTCCAGTCGGTGGTAAAAAGTTTTTTGGACGTTGACCAATGGCTTCGATCCGTCACTTTGTTACCTCGTTGACTTGTTGCTATCTCGTGTCGTTATCCAATGAAATATAGAAATCGATTTGAAATTTCATCGGTGATCGTGAAGTAGTTCAATTAAGAAACCACACGATCGGTAGGAATATCGCATAGTAGAGGATATTGCAATTAATTCCAACAATTAGTTGGAGAAGTTTAGGACGAAGAGCGACAAGCTCGAGAAACTACGTTGAAAGCTCGTAACCAGCGAGCGGAATGTCCAGCTTCTTCGAATTCCTGATCAAAGCGATTTTATGCATGCGGGTCAAGAATTTCATGACTGTATAGTTGATAGCTCGTGGACTGCAATTAACCTTGTTTCGTCTGGCGTTAATATACAGGATCGACGATTATATAAAGATGTTCCATAAGATAAAAGTATTTGGATGACTATCCTTCGCTTCGATAATTCATGATCGAAGAAAAATTTCAATTACAATCGGAAGAGATTTCGTAGAAGATGTCGGGATAAAAGATTGATCGGTGTAAAGCGATTCGAAATAATATTCCAGTCGTCGCGAACCGTTCGAATATTAAATTATCCGAATGGGTCCCTGGTTTCCCGGTCGATTCTCGTCGTCACCCTTCGCCCCTCATAGATGATCGTGTTCCTGCTACTGTGTTGGTGCGTGCAAATAGAATCGTTGAACTCGTAGAGCGTCTTCCTTCCGGGAAGGGAGCAGCAATTCTAACACTCCAGGCCTCAAACCCCAACGAGACTGGAAACGCTTTAATCCCTCTTCAGGGCTGCGTGTTTTCGTCACGAGAGGTTGGCTTCAACTGTAAACATATTACGTTTTCCTGCCCCTTGACTCGTTACGCGGACAAATTTTGCTCGTTAGTTAAAAATTGTAAGTAGGAACATGTTTCAAATTCAAGCTCGCGTACGTTTGATTAATCAGGGAAAGCTTGTGCTTTTGCTGCAGATTATAATTGCGTCTTTATATTTAACAGGATTATTGAAATCGCAACGTTGTTTGGAAAAAAACGTGCGAATTAGAAGTAACGTAAGATTCTCTTTAAGGCGAGATCCTCCGCCTCGTCCGCTGGTAGTATCTTGAAAGAGACGCGGTAGCGTAAGCGAGTCCCATTCATAAACCTAAAATCAATGACGGATTGGTAGAAAGAAATTCGTGGCTTGTGATTGGACGCGTTTCGTCGCCATGATGGCATCGTTAGCCAATCCGCGTGGCCCTTTCGTTTTCCACTACGTGCGTCTACTCGTGGCCTATGTCTATACATCTCCCTCTAACCCATCCTCCAACCATTCATTCTTTCTTTTCCAATCTACTCTTACTATTCTCTTCCCTCCGAAACCCTTTATTGTTCTTTTACTCTCTATATCTCTATTTCTCTCTCTCGGAAAATAATAACTATTGAAATTTATTTGGAAAAATTTGGAGCATCGGTGAATGGTTTTGTAAATAAATGGAAAAATGAACCAGAGATGATTGTTATAATTAATTGCACGAAGGAGGGAATTAATCCGACATGATTTAAAATAAGTATTATCACGAATGTGGCGAAGCAGAGAACCGGAAATGCGGCGTTATATTGTTCCGTAGTGACCTGAAAATGTGGGTGAACCCCGAGGCAGCCTATCCTTCATTTACAAACAAAGGTTCGGGGGAAAAGTTTTTCGAAGCGAAGACAATGGAAAGTGGAAAAACCGTTCTAGATTCACGAATATCTTCTATCTCTCTGCTCATCGTTCCTCGTAAATGAAATTCTGTAATTCCATGTCACCGAGTAATATTTCATTTAAAAAACGTACCTGCGATTCAACTTGGATCCCCCAAAAATCTTTCAAATTTGTTTATGCACCTATTCGGTATAAATATAAATATGTTTGTTGGAAGAAGGAAAGTAAAAGGGTTTTGATGTGTTGTTTGTTCAGGTCCGTTGTAACTGAAAGCAAAGAGGAGCAAAACGTGGCGGATTCGGTGACCCCTTGGCTGTGACCACAGGCGCACAGAGAATTAGGGCAAGGAAATGCGTGAATATAAAATAGTAGTGTTGGGCAGTGGAGGTGTAGGCAAGTCCGCCCTCACTGTCCAGTTTGTGCAGGGTATCTTCGTGGAGAAGTACGATCCAACGATCGAGGACAGCTACCGCAAACAGGTCGAGGTCGACGGTCAACAATGTATGTTAGAAATCCTAGACACAGCCGGAACGGTGAGTTTCTTTATTTCTTTCATTCTTTTTTTTCCTACTTCCCTCCGTTTCACTTTTATTTATTCTCTCGATGCAACAAGATACGTATTATTCTAGCGATCCTTGTAATTTTTCAAAACGATCAGTTGCCTAGATTCTTACGCGAGACTTCTCTAGGCTAGGTCACGGTTAGGTTTAGAAGAAAGGAGCCGATAAATTAAGAGAAGATTCCCTTCCGCAGGAACAATTCACAGCCATGAGGGACCTTTACATGAAGAACGGACAAGGATTCGTGTTAGTATACTCGATAACGGCGCAGTCAACGTTCAACGACCTGCAGGACCTCAGGGAACAGATCCTGCGGGTAAAGGACACAGATGACGTGCCGATGGTCCTCGTGGGTAACAAGTGCGACCTGGAGGACGAAAGGGTAGTGGGCAAAGACCAGGGCGTCAACCTTGCCCGGCAATTTAACTGCGCCTTCATGGAGACCTCTGCCAAAGCCAAAATTAATGTTTACGATGTGAGTATGCGAACCTTTCCTTCTCTTTCGTGTCAGAGCCGATTGTATGGGATACTTATAGACGCCGGTGTGCGTTTAGCGTGTATGGCTGGTCTTTACGCAAAGAATGTAACAATATTCTGAATGAAATTAGAGAAGATAACGATCCGTACGCAGTAAGGTAAACACGTTCGACCCTCCGGTTAGAAAAAGGTATCATCGAAGGATTGTTATAAAATAACAGTTATTTATCCAAAGACACCATTGTTTTTGTTTAATTAATGCGACGCGTGGGAGTTGGAGACCGTTACGAAGGCTCTGAGATATTGTAATTTAAATGTGGGAATGCAATCGCCAAGTGTGGGAGTGCGACTCGCACATCTCTATTCGCCACTTGTGTGACCCTCGCAACATTATAACTGTTCCATTCAGCCGGCAATTTGCAACTCCTTCAAATTACCCGCTGCAATCCCATAGATCTTTGTGTAAGAAAAATAAAGCTGCCCAGAGGATAATTTTCCTCACCGAATGACCGATCAATAAATTCTAATTAACGCGTCCAATAATTGTAAAACATCGACGCTCGTATTTAACCGTTACTTTGTAATTTAGTAATTGGAGAAAGTAGACACTGTTTGAATTTTCATTTTGAAATTGCTTGAAATTAACTCATTGTTTCTTCTTGTTTTTATTATTGTTTAGTGTTATAGAAGCTTTGGAGAAGACGGACGTTCGGTGACTGGGATGATTGTTTTTCTCCGCGAGTATGTTTCCCTTCGCTTTCCCGTGAAAGCCTGTCTCTCTGACGAGACGTTTCTAAAGATTCCACTGTGAATCGTACTTCAGACAGTTCTGAATAACTTCTCCTCTCCGGAGAATTCATCTCTCGCTTCTGCGTTTGATTACTTTTGTTATTTCGCTGGTGCGCCATTACAATTCAGTTGCACAATTGGAGCACGTTTTTCTTCAAATCTCTGAATGCGATATAACATTGTGCATGAGTATTCTTCAAAACATCAGAGAGTAATTACTGAAAGCGGTTCGTGGGAGTTTGGTCAAATATATCTTTTAGAGAGGCAAGGTATAATTGAACGTAGAGAGGGTTATTTGAAATAAATTTTATTTACGTTCAAGTATCAACTTTGGTAGAGGATTTATTTTCACCGAGCATCGCACTGAAACGTTTCCTACTAATTTCTCTTTCCTTTACAAAGAGTACTCGTCGAAAGTCTTACTATCACAGCTAAAACGGCGATAAGAAAATTCTACCTCGTTATTTGATAATAACTCGTTAATTATGAAGCGTTTAAAGAGACGTACAAATTCATGACCGAAAGCCTTGCGAAATATATGCTTCGAATTAATATCATTTTGCATTCGTGTGCCTGTTTTTCATACTTTTCTCCTCAGTGTGTGTGGAATTCGGACCGTATGAATGCGTAATGGAGTAGCGTGAACTTGAGAGTTAAGTACAATTCCTTTTTCGTTACAAGTTTCCTTCAACAAAATCTACCCGTCGTCATCGCTAACAATGAAAACCTGTGTTTGCAGATCTTCTACGACCTGGTGCGACAAATCAACAAAAAGTCGCCAGAGAAAAAGATGAAGCAGAAAAAGAAATCGCTGTGCCTACTTCTGTAAGTTAGATCCAGCAGAAGCCCATGCTCTCCTGCGTGAAGAAGAAAAAGAACAAAAAAAGAAGAAGAATATATAAATATATATAAAAAAAAGCAACAAATCCGGATACATCAGTGGAGGACAGGGGTTCAAAGCGAAATACGAAGCAAACCTACTAGTGACAAGGAGGGGGCTGAGGGGGAAAAATCACAAGTAAAACAGAGTGGCAAAACACAGTGGGCTGAAGTGCACAAGGTCGTAGAACACCGAGAAGGTATGAAGAAGAATAGGAAGGTGAGAAAGAAGACGACGACACAAAATGAGAGAAAGATTCAGGGACGTGTGAGAGAAGAGGGTTGAAGAGGGTTGAAGAGAGGAAACGAGATGACAAGGGAAAGAGCAATGGAGAGAAAAGGGGGATAGAAACAGCGAGGATAAAAAAAAAGAAAAAAACACTAATAATGTTGTACATAGGTTGGTCCCGGGGTGGCTCGTGTGCACGCGCAAATATAGGCGCACAAAGAAAGATAAAGAAGATGATGAAGAGGAGTTTTTAGTGTTAACGAGAGACCCCGTGGCTGTCAGTTATCATTGTAGTAGGAGTTTTGCATTAAAGAGGAAACAGAAGAGGAGGTGGTAGAAACGAGAAAGAAGATGAAGAAGAAAAAAAAAAATATGATTAATTAATGATAGTATATAAATATATATAAATATATAAATATATAAATATAATATATATTTATATATGTGTGTATATGTATTAGGAGAAAAGGATGAAAAAGCAAAAAGAAAAAGAAAAAGAAAAAATGTTTGGATGTGCGCGTGCGCAGGCCACCAGCCCCCATGCATTGCCCGCCGCGCACCTCTCTCTTATATATAATATAATAATTATACATAGACGGTACACACATACTACATTCACACACATGTAAACGGATACACACAAAACAGGACCCACGTACACACACGAATGATTATTAATTACTATTATTATTATTATTAATTATTATCGAAGCATCAAAATATTCATAAGTTATATCAACCGTTTGTTTCTCGAACAATATATGTTTTTTCTATATCTCTCCGTATTAAAGCAAATAATAAAAAAATCTCTCAGTGAATGTTAAGAAAAAAGAAAAAAAAAAATATGAACAATGAAAAAAATAAGCCCAGGCTCTGGTTCTCCTCCTTTTTGCTACTTAAACCTCGACGCCTATCTTTTTCTCCCTTTGTCGATACGATTCGAAGGACGACGAGGGATGTAAGTTCAAGTTGAAATTGAAGTTGATTTTATCAAGGATCAAAGAATATTAATTACTTTTATCTTTGGTAAGATACCTCGGATCTACGATCTAGAAATTAATTGAAATTTCTTGGACTTACAACGCTCATCGCTATCTCTCTAAGCGTTTCAATTGTCTTCGCGATTAACTAAAAATATCTTGCCTTTTTTTTCTTTCTTTTTCACATAGAACATAGCGTGAACGATGCTGGTGCATCGGCGCGTTTCAATCTCTTTGTGTGTTGTCGAGAGGTGGTCCACTTTCGTGGAATTTTTTAAAACATCAGAACCAAGTTCTAATTACTCCACGAAAAATCTAACGAGGCTACTAACGATACGATCAACGACTTGAATTTAAAAGAAAGGAAACAATCGTTTGTACCGTGTACATGTGGCTAATCTACTGCGTGACCGAACGTAATCAGCATCGAAAGGACGTCTACGAAAAATGTCTCTCAGCCAATCACCGATACATTCAAGCATACTACTCCTCGAGCATATTCAAAGAAACAATCTCATCAGCGATCGACTACAGTTCAAGGAACCCTAACGTCGCCACGAGCCAAATCATACTGAAAGCAACGTTATAAGAAGTTTTTCTGAACGCGATTGTGCCACTGGTTACGTTACAACAATTATTTGTGGCCTCTTCCAGAACCATCGGATAATAATCGTTCCAGAAAGCAAGTGCTTTGTAATCGACCGCATTCGAATCTGCCATGTCGATGTTCTTGCCGATTATCAAAATCCCAGGATCCTCTTCTGTATACGGTTCCCACTTGACGCTGCTCACCGAGGGATTACCCGTTTTGACGAAGCTGGCCAACATGGTCATCATCATCTCGGACATCTTCCTATCGGGATTGTTCCATTGGATAGGACTGTTAGGCAACGAAGGAAGTCCCCATACGAATGGCAACTCGAACATATGAGGTACACCGGCCCATTCTGGCACGTCCTTGATCACAGACTGTGTTTTGGATCGGTAGTCGAACCTGTAAACGAACGCCAGCTTCTCTTTGGCAACTTTACCAGCGAGCAAAGTCATCCCAGCCGCGATATTCCGGTCGATTTGCAGGTCCAGGTATCTGTCACGCAGCACAGCTTGGTCCTTGCTCGGTGGATGGGGTTTGTAAAAGAACAACACCGCCTCGGCGACCATTTCTGGCTTCAGCGTGCACGTGCTGTTGTCTTCCGGGCCCTGGACCAACGACGTGATCTCATTGGTGATCATCGTTTCGAAGCTGTCGAACGACAGTTTCCCTTCGACGTTTCCTTTGTCCAGGGTCTCGATATAGGTCAGCGCGTACTCCTTGTTCGTGTAGCCGGCTAACAAAGGAACGGAATTCAAGTTGCCAGCGTCAATGATGTCGACGGGATGAGCCGGAAGAAGCGGTTCGGTGGAGTTGTTGGTCTCGTAATCGACGATGGGACCCCAAGTTTCGATGTCGGAAGACTCGCGGACCAGAATGTTCACGTCCACCCGACGTAGGCATTCCATCAACGCGGACGTTGGACGTCGATAACAGCCAAACTTCTCCGCGATTATGTCAACGACGGTCAACTCGGTTTCAGGAGAACGGACGGAGGTCAAAGCGTCGCCGCTCATCGCGATAGCCTTCGAGAACTTGCCTCTGCTCAAAGGGCTGATCAAGTGGAGACCAACGCTGATGGCGCCGGAATCGTGACCATAAATAACCACGTTGGACGGAGAACCGCCAAAGTGCTGGATCTTCTTCTGGATCCAATCCAGAGAAGCTATCTGGTCGAGTATGCCGTAGTTTCCTGGAGCCTCCGCGTCGGTGGTCGTGAAGAAACCGAGGATGTTCAAACGATACGCTACTGTAACTATTATCACCTGGAACGCGAAGAAGAGTAATTGTTACCATTAATTGTGCGTTAGATTTAGTATGAGTTGCATTGTTGTAAGATAGAACGCGGCGATCTGTTTCCGTGTGTTAATTTTTCAAGGGGGATTAGAATGCTTTTCGAGGAAAAGAGTTTGTTAATATTTTTCTGTCGCGAATTGTTGGAGGTCCAGGGTGAATTGGTAGGCTTGCGATGTTTTATGTAGATGTTTGTTCTATGAATAATGTAACCTGTTAACTGGGTCATTGATTATAGGCTAGAAAGGAGTTATTTTTTCTCACGTGCGGTTTTCCTCGCGTCAAGGTGCTGAAACATTACAAACCTACCAGTTTTTCATTCTTTTTTTATGATCACCCTGTAGGAACGTAAGGAAAAGATTTCACGAATTTAGGAATGTATAAGTGTTCTGAAGAAAAAAAAAAAAAAATAGATGTGGAATGTTAAATCAATAGTTATCTCGTAATTAATCCTTTCGTACGTTAACGTTAAACTGATATTGCAATTTAAGCGTCATTTTTACATTGTTTTGTAAATCCTGTCGAATAATGAACAGAGCGTTAGCGATGATCGAGTAGAGAAACGAATTAGAGAAAGAGATCCTTCCCTTACGTATATGATACAATATTATTGTTACAAATTTACATACATCGTTAAAAAAAAAAGAATCGTCATACGATTGTTTCTTCAAACAAACGCGTTTGACACGCGTGACTGGCACAGTAGATAATAATTAGCTGTGCCCCTAATATGGCACACGATAATCTGAATTAATAAAGATACTACAATTATGATATTTTATGCCATTAGAACGATTTTCAAGAATTTTTCTTTCCAACTGAATTAAGTTCGGTCGTCAATTATTCAATCTACTGTCTCAGTAATAGAATTTTAATTTCATTTTCATTCTTTGATTAAGTTCGTAGCGTTAGTGACCCTCGTGGCAGTAAACTTGTTTAATAATCATCTTGCCGCTATTGTTCTTCATGAATGTTTCGAATTAGCATTTACAGCGATAACCGTGAGGCATACATGCATCATGGATGAACGATACGATTCGAAAGGTTGAATTTATCTATGGATTTCGAGTAGCACGCAATCAACACCCTAATTTCCTTCGATTTTCTGTCCATTTTTAACGGGTTTCTTACCGATTGATAGCCAATCGAAAATTCTTTCCCAGGGTTACACGTGTATAACGTATAAGGTCAAAACGTAATTCGTAATAGTTTTCCAATGTAAGAACTTTTAGCTTTGATACCTTTTAAATATGTTTGTAAGTAGTTTCATGGAAAGAATTTATTTTAGCAATTTATTTTTTTTCATGTAACATTGTTTGTAATTTAATATATATACATATATGTATATTAAGAGAGAGAGAGAGAGAGAGAGAGAGTGAGAGAGAGATTAATGAACGACTTACTTTATGTTTGTTGACGAAAATAGAAGCGTCCCAGATTGCTGGCGTACCAGTGTTGAAATCACCACCATGGAACCACACCATGACCGGCCATCCTTCGTCTGGTTTATTTCCTACATGTATTTCAAATTATAACTTGTTGTATATTTATGTTGTAATATAGTTCAATTTTCAAAAGGGTACAGAAACTTTTGTATTTCAGATTTCTTATGGTTTTACACGTTCACCGTCGATGCTGTAATTATTAAGGATACGAATAGGTAATTTCCAAATTCAATCATTCATTTCTCTACATTTTTAATTAACTTGGTAAGATTCTTTTTAATTTTGAATATCTGACAAATTACAATAGAATTTTTTGTTTGATTATTTCCTGAAGGTTTAGCGAGACGAGACGAGACGAGTTGCAGCAGGAATAATTATTATTCAATGAATTAACGAGTAAAGCGAGACTTGGCATTCACGAATTCCAAAGATCGTGGGGAAGGCGTGCGTGGTCGCAGGTATGCATCTCCGTTTCCGGTTAAGCCGGTGAATCGATCGTGACAGAATTTGCATGCCGTCATTCTTTGCCACTGATCAACCGTGGACGAATCATTTAGAATTTTACTATCGTTTATTCAATGTTTTCGTTGTATTTGAAAATGAATTATTTATCCATTTTCCGCGCGGGGGTGAACGTGTTAAACGGTTCTGGGCCAACGGGTGGAAACTTTTATGAACCCTGGCCGTTTCTAGCCGAAGGCACGAACCCATATCCGGCTGGTGGCTAACGTTTGAATAATTAATTTCGCCGATTTCTTCAGCGCGTTATGTGTCGGTTGGTTTTTCAAGCGTGCCAAGGTCGCGAAGAAATTCAGGCCATTGCACGGTTGGACGTTTCGCGATAACCCGATAGAAGGGACGATATAGGAAGTCCAGGCTAACAGAAAGTTGCCAGCTGCTCTTCGCGTTATCGGTCTCTGGCGTCTGAAACGTCCAGGAATAGCTTCTTCTTCGCCGAGATATCAACCACTCCTGTCACGAGGATTCATTAGAGGTTTTATCGCGATCACAGGCACGAAAATCCAATTGATTCCGACAATGTTTCTAGGATTTTTCAATCGGACCGCCTTATTGGCAGATTCGTTGAAAGATCGTTTCGTCGAAGTTCCTCTTGCACCGTGACACGTAGGAAATTCTTGCGACGATTCCAGGTACGATTCTGAAATCATCCTGACGAAAGCGACGAAGAAGGGACTGGAGAAAAGGAAAGGGGTTGTTTCGTGACCGGCCTCACCGGTATCTCGACATCTCGACCAACCCTAAAAGAGATCGCGTGCTACGGTGTGCGCCAGTTACTCTCTTACTCTTACCTTTAGCTGTTTCTATATCGACCGAGGGTGGCTTGCGGGATCGGCACGATTTCCAGATTCACGTGTCCCCTTTCCTATTTTCTATCCCCTTTCTTCGTCCCTGTTTCTCGAACGAGCCACCGTGACACGCGTGCAAGGTACGCGTGAAACTTGCATTCGCGCGAAATAGTATCGTTAACAAGCTAGAGTGAACTAGAGCTAGATTCGCTCTTACCCTTTGGTCTCTATAAAGCCATCTTCTCAAGATTTTCAATCTTACATACGGAAGTTTGTATCCTGGACTTTGAGAGGCTTAAATTTCAAACTTGCGACTAGCCGAGAATAAAGTTCCAGGAGGAATATCGCATTTTCTTCTCCATCGATTTTAAAGAAATAAATATGGAAATACTTATTAATGCAACCTTCGAAAGTTCAGCTTTCTTTCGCGATTTACGAGCTCGAGAGCTCACGAGACATCGGAAATTAGCTGGAAATGATGCTCGTAATAGGGCTATTAGCTTAGTCCTTAACCGACATCCTCGAACGACGAGATTTACGTACCCACGGCACGCAGACACGCGCATTTATTGTCAATCGAGAAATTGGAACGGCGAATAATTTGATAGGTCATCATCGGGACGAAAATAATAGGCCGTTGAAAATTATCGTGCCAAGTTCGCAGGGGCGTTACTAAATTTTCCACGCGATCCATTCGATAAGGAGTAGATTAGAGCAGTTTTCTCGAAGCGACTCGACGACATTATAATCACGGGTTTTTCCTCGAGGATGTTAGATAGCGATCTAACGTAGCCTCGGTGACATATCGCCAAGGATAAAGAAACGGGGAACCCGTGATCATCGTTACTCGCGTGTCTCGCGTGTTCTAACGAGTTAAGTGTTTCTTGAAAAAAACAAAAAAAAAAAGAGAAAAAGCTGACGTGTCGATTATCCAGAATTACATCGAGCGTTTGTGTTATCAGCAACGGTGATGATTACGATTACGCGATTCTTCGTTTCTTAGAGATTTTTCTATGCTTACCATCCGGCGCGAAGATGTTCAAATAGAGACAATCCTCGCTGACCCCTGGATCGGGTTGATCCGGTGATAACAATCTCTTGTAGAGCTTCTCGTGAAGTTTTAGCCGATTTGTCAATTGCTGACAAGATGCTGCGAATTGCGTTGCATTTCGTACGCCGTTCCACGATGGCAGGGGTTCGGTAACAGGCGCGGAGAAGCGTAATTTTCCCAAGGGTGCTAGAGCGTACGGTATTCCCAAATATTGTATCACTCTTTGCGTGGGATTTAGGAACACCTAGGATTAAAAAGTTGATTGTTTTTCAAAAGAACTACTAGGACGTATAATTTGGTACTAAAAGGAAAAAGAATGAAGTCGTTTAGCTGGCTAACGTGTAACCAGTTATTTTCTGGGTGAAAAGGTAAAGCTTCGAAAGAGGTTTCTAGGCGAAACGGTAAAATTACAGATGACAAATGGTAGCCACGTGTAAGCGCACAAAGGGACCTGCAATCAAGGTTTTCAAGACGTTTAAGCTTAAACTCGGCTTTCGAGAAGCTACATTGTAAACGCAATCACTGTTTCGCTGCTTTACTTCTAGCCACAATTTAAATTACGTTACTCATAGTTTGCGATTCGCGATCATTATCTAAACTACATTTGCCGCTTCTTATCGCGCCGGTATAAAACGGCAAAAAAGTGGAACGCGCTTTGAAACGCGTTTTAATTAAACTTCTTAATTGCTTTTGAAATTTGTTAACCCGGTACATAACGATTTCATCGAGGTGAAAAATTGACATTTAAATATCAAAATGTTAACGATTAGATGCCTTTGACATTATACCTTCGTAACTACTACTTTAAATTTAAGATAAGCAGTGAAAGAAGAAGTTAATTCTTTCTTTTTTTTTTTCTTTCAAAGAAACATAAATGTATGCAAAGCACAGTAATGAGGAACATATTTCATCTTGATGGACATTGATCGTCGTTCGACTGTTCGTAGAAACGAAAGACAGAGAAAAAAAGTACAATCCGTAGAATTAAAATTCATAAATGCCGGCCCAGTTATACAGTTCCCCCTGCATATTATCTGCATACGCTTAATTCGAACAATTGAAACTTACGGTGCTTGCATGTTATTGTTCGTTATGCGGTTAAAATGTCGAATACTTATTCAGATCGGCTTTTCACGTTTCGTTGTTTTAACGTGACATAAATGATATATGGGTTTTACGTTGCGAAGCCTTGTTTCTTATGCAAATGTGACGTTAGGAAAAAAATTTGCCTTTGATGAAACCTTGAAAGACAATAGCGCAGTAACATCTATCTACTGTTCTAACGAAACAATTATCAATTTTGGAAGTTCAAGATTACATCCCTCGGAAGACACCCAGTCGGAAACATTTCGTTTAATCGCATAGCAACCGTACAGTGGTGTCGCGACGATGGGTAACAAACCATAGCATCGAATGAAACAGTCACAGTTGGATCACGAAAATCATAAGAAAGGTCTACCTTCAAGCTCGAGAATCGACATCTACCACTTTGAGACAATTTCTTCAGCAACTAGCAATCTAGAACTCCCCAATTTCTACGTTTATCCATCGATGATAGGAAAAAAAAGAAGAATCAACTTTTACCTCTTTACCAGCCACCGATCCTTGATCCGGTATCTTGACGACGGGTTGCTCGCGACCCGCACCCTGTCTCGCGTGGGTCCTCTGCGAGCTGGTGACCGGTATCCCGGTGAACAATAGCGGGAACAAGGCGAAAAGCAGCCACGCGGGACACCTCATTCTGCAGACTGACTGATTTGCCAGGGAAACAATCGGTGGTTCCCCAAGCTGGCCACTCGGGTCTCGGTTCGCCCTTGCGTGACTCCTCCGTCGACCGACCACCCTCGGCAACTTCCAAACGACGCGGTGGAGGTCGAGGCCTGCGCTCTTTCATTCTGCCTTTCTTGCCCTGACTCCTGGGCCTCTTTCTTTTCTCCTAAACACACCCTTGTCCTTCGATGCGCCATCATATTCTAAGAATTCTTTCTACCTTTTTCCTTTTTTTGGGAAAATTGAAGCGACAATTTGTCCTTCGAAGGGTCTGGATTATTGGGTTGTTTACGGGTGACATTGTCCCTTGTAATTACATCGTCGCTCTACGACTTATTTTAGGGCTCCGTATACTGCGCAATTGTACATCAACCTATATATACCTTCGTAGTGGTATTATTTACACCTGCAATTTTTCGTGAAACTTACCAACAACCGTTTGCACGCAACGAAATTAAATTGGAATTTTTAGCGGAACAATAAGAAACGCACTGCGAAGAAAAATGTATATTAAACCTCGATGTCGGCAGGATCGAAGTTTATTTTCTGATAATAGATAGGATGAAAGATAGCGAAGAGGATGGGAAAGATGGAAAAATGAGTGATTGAAAAGGGTGGCGGTTAGCGTGACCGCAAAAATCGAACGAACAGATAATGATTGGAAGCATTTGGTGATACGCGTTTCAGATATAGGTGAAAGGTTTACTGTTTGATGAATAAATCCAATTACTACGATCAATTCTGAATTGGAAGAAGCTAAAACTACAGGACGTAGATCTAGTACAAGTGCTAGATGAGTAATGAAATTTCATCTTTGAATACCCTTTGCCCTAAAAAATAAAAATAACATTGAATCAGTATGACGGTATTGATATAAATTTAAATATACTCAGAAGGACAAGACCTCTCCAACAGTGGCCTACTGGCCAGCTGGAGGCAGCAATTTGAAGAGCAATTTTGTGGGAGGGTTGTTTAAAGGGTTGTCCTTGAAAATCGATATCGAGGGTCTTTCGCCTCGATGGCGTAGTGGCCAACACGCTCTCATTAAGATGCGATCTTCATGTTGGCGTCCCTAACTGGTACGACCTTGAATGTTGTGTCACTGAAAAATCTCCTCGATCCTTAATAAAAAATATAATTGCTTCGTTCGCGAGAAAACTCCACGGCATTCGTCGTTGCTGATAAAAACGGTGGACACGGTCCTCGGGGCTAGACGTACGATTTATGAGTCGTTATCGCGTTTGATCGCCACTTTCGAAGGGGTGTTGCACCTGTATCTTAGATACGATAGTGCAGCCAGATTAAATTAGGTGGCATCGTTTTTTTAATTACATATATGCTGATCAATTTATTTCTACGCATAATTACTTAAGATTACCGTGTTTCTATAATTTAATTACTCTTTGTACAATTTACGTTCCTAATTAAAGTGCTGTAATTGTCATTTCAATCTAAAATAATTGATTTAATAAGCTGAAAGTACTAGCAGGTCTTTTTTAGTATTTTAAAAAGACCGCCATAAATTCAAATTTTTAAAATTCGATCCTATCGCTATCTCTTTAAAAACGGCTCAAACTACTCAACGAGTTATCGATCGATTTTCCTAAACAGGGGACACTACCGCCGTCTATCGAAAAGCAGCGGAAGGTATACTTATCGATAAGTTTCCGCTGTTTCCCGATAGACGGCACTAATGTTCCCCTCTGTTTCTGAAACCGCGATAGGGTCGAATTAAAAAACTTTTAATTTATGGCCGTCCGTTTAAAATATAAGTTTGTCAGACAATTAAGTCCTTTTAAAGTAACCAAAAGTAAGTATTCGAACATCTTGGTAAAAAAGAAAAGGAAGGAAAAGAAATTCATCTCGGTGGACACATACTAAATCGCATTATTTTTTATTCCAGAGAAAAACATCAATCGTTTTGTCCATCGTCAGAAGGGCACGGCGTGGTGAACGCGGGAACGCCGGAAAAAGGAACAAGAAGAAGCTGTGCTGCGAGCGGCGGTGGTACACGGTGAAGGGTTAAAAATACATATATTCGGTGGTTCTAATTCAATGGGCAGCCGGCGTACGGCGATTTACATGAACGGTGCTCGACGACTCGACTCGACGAGGACAATCCGTGCATTGAGGGACTCGCAGTCGTGCAGAGCAGAGGAACGCGGTAAGAGAGCAACGTGCTGTTGTTGTATGGGTTGGTTGCTGGCGTTTTACCGATTCGTTTACTTGCCGGCACCGTTCGGTCGGGTCGAACGCTCCCGCTCTCAGTCAGTCTCGCGACCGCGTGCCAAGGGGATGTCGTCGTTCTCCTCTTCCTTCCGTGATCTCCACTAAGATCGTGTGCCAGCCGTTTCACGGTTCGTTCTCTCTCTTACGAGACGAATCGGTGGCGCGGCTATGTGACGTGTGTACAACGCTTTCGACATCAAAGGATCCCGTGCCAGTGTTTTCCCGGAATCAGTGAGAACGAAGAAAGAGAAGACGTTCGACGTCGTCGTCATTTTGCTTCGAAAGTATTTGATGCAACGAGATGGGCAGCGAGGCGGACGCGGAGACTAAGGCTGCCAACGCCGTCGATTCGGATGGATCTGATAGCTGGGAGGACTTTTTCGGTGAGTTTCTTTTATTTTTTTTTCTTTATTGTACCTTGTCACGAAGAACATGATTTGTGGAACCATTTATTATGACGTTGACGCGTAGCTTTTCACGCTGTCGTGGAACCGTATGTGTTTTCTTTTCTTTTAATTATTGTGAGGCTTCGATATACCTTCTTGAGAGGTTATAAATAAGCCACAGTTTTCAGGTTTCCGCGATGTAGTTTCTAAGTCGATCGCGATGCCGGGTTTTAACGCGACCACGTGTACATTGAGTTTTGCATGCATTTGATTAAACGACACTTTCATATAAGGTATTATTACATAAACGTAAACAATGCAGGTAAATCTATGCTTTCGTGGTGAAGGTAGCACGTGGTATCTCTGAAAAAATTACAAAATTCTAATCGAACAATGCGTAGCGTACATAAGGCATAGATTCGGGATCGCGAGACGACAATTCACGAAGATTGCCGAAAAGGAACGTAAGGAATCCTATATAAACGATCGTCGCGTGTTTGTTGTGGTGGTGTCGGTAATACAATCGCGCAACTTGAGCTGATAATACGTGTTGATAGTCGAAACAAGGGTAGCCTAAAAGGAAACATATGTACATACGTTGCAGAAAAATAATTCAAATGATATGTATCCGGCGAATACTTTTCTATAAACGTAACGTATTTGATTAGGATGATTCAGAACGTGAGCATAAGGTTTGAAAAACTATCCGGTAGACTGATAAGGTATGAAAGAATAATTTACCGTAAAAATAATAAAACCTTTATGCTATCGTTTATCGCATTTAAACACTTGATTCGTTTTATCTTTCTAATTCTTACGGTATCTTTATAGTTAGAGAAGATATCCTTGTTACTAAGGCGTTAGTTATTTAGTTGCTCAGACTTGAAATCTTTACAAAATGCACAACGTGCAGTGATGCAACAGAATTTACAATACGCAGTCAGCATAATGATTAAATCAACATGTGATGTAATTGGTGCATATTTTTAAGCCGTAAAATATTTTCAGCAATTATTTTTAGCTCGTCATATATCTTTATTCTAATCATTATTAGAGGATTAGAAATAATTTTTTTATTTTTACTTTAGATAATTTATCAAAGTGCAGTATCAGAAATCCCCGCTTCACTTCGATAACATTTATTGCAAACACCGACGTTGTCAATAGGGCGAATAAAAAAAAATATTGCTAAATCTCTTTAGCAATTTTTCTCCTCTTTATCGTTATCTGTTTAAACATTTACTTTCGATACTGCACATCTAGGTGACGATGAAACAGTCCGTTGACGTAACAAAACGTACATAGTATCATTATTTCAAATAGAAAAGCTTATAGAGAGAAATTGTTGGAAAAGAAATACCGATGGTAATTAAGGATTTCCCTAAAAGGAACAAAATGATAATCAACGGTGCTTACTTTCTACTTGTACTACGTACCGATAATAAGCACCGTTTATTTTCGACTCTCGTATCGATTAAGTCATGAAACTGCAGGAGCATTTTACAAATTAAGAGAATAATCGTACTTTCTTAAACATCTAAAAGTGCGGGCAAAGTATAGCATAAAAGAATGACGTAGATGGCTAAGCCAGCACGTGAATACATCCTTTTACAAAAGCAATAAGAAGGAAACGGGAGTTCCTGAAAGGCTGTTCATTTTTACGTACTCTCAAAGGGTTAAGATTCTCTCGGTCTCGACGAGTCCTCTTCATCTTCTTCGTTTTCTGAATCATCCTCTAGAGATAGTTTCTGTGCTCGCGGGTTAAAAGGAGGGGCCAGAGTTGCTCGTGACTCGACGAACTATCACCGGTCGCGAGGAAATTTCTGATTTTCATTTGCATGCCACGAAGAGCCGGGCGATAGTCACGAAGAGACGTGGCGAGGCGAGGCGAGGCGATGCAACGCGATGCAACGCGAGGGCACGGCTACCCGCGAGACAAGTGGCGAACTTAAGGATGCGACGCGATGCACAAAAAACAGCCGCTCTGCCGGATGCAGCTTAGAGAGCGTCGCTTTCCTTCGTTCGTGTTTGTCTTCATATACACGTTCCCGTATCCTCACCGAGTAAGAGAATGAGAAAGCCGTATGCGTGTGTGTCTCGCGTATATTTCTGGCCCCTCCTGCCCCTGTGCACGCCCAAAAATCGAGCAACCGACCCGTTCGTTGCTCGTTCCGTCTGGATTTTTATAGGACCGACCGGTGTCTGCTCGAGTCTCTCAGCCCTGAAAGTTTCACGAAACCCGTATTTGCATCGCGATCTCGCGCGTGTCCACAGAATTGTCTCGTTATCTCGTAATAAATCCTTTCGAAAGGGTTTCTTGAACTCTCGGTATTTCAAGAATATCATTTTCGAGCT